GGGGGGGGGGGGGGGGGGGGGGGGGGGGGGGGGGGGGGGGGGGGGGGGGGGGGGGGGGGGGGGGGGGGGAAGAGCACGCGGCACAAGGGAAGACGGCCACCATGGGTTGCGATGAATGGGACAGGTAGATGAATAGGACAAGCCGTAAATGAGCGCTCGAAGGAGGTCAAGGTCGTGACGGAGGGCGAGAAGGTGCACACATATGCTGCTTTGTTCTCCATCGTCCGTTTGAGATGGGATGGTCTTAACAAGCCCCGCGTGCGTTTCATGACAGGTCTGCTGAGCACGAGCACCGCAGGAATACATCCCGCCGGCCGGGCTAAGCGCTCAAGTTTGCATCATGTACAGCGGGTAGTTTATGAACAAACATCGTCGTCGTGGGCAACGGGCAAGGAATTTGAACAGCAGCAGCAGTACCGGCCGGTTCACTTCCCGCTGACCCTTTAGATTTCAAGCTCAGTTTACAGTTTTTGTAACGTTCTTTGTGTAGTGCTGGTTTCCAAAGATGGCCCCCTGCGGTTCATTGAGGTGGCCTCGCTGTCGTGAAAATACTCCTCGTGGCATCAAGTCTCGCAACACTCTCTTTTAGATCCTCACACCACAAAATCCAAAGTGCTCCTGAAACTGATTTCTCCTACAAGACTTACATGCTGCATGCGCATGCACGCGAGGGTCTACTCATAGTGCTGTCTGCGCAAGCCCGTGGCTCGAACCTGACTACACTGCTTGCTGTTTGTTTGTTCCTGGTGCTGACGGACTCCCGTGGATAAATTCTCAATTAGAAGGAGAGGGACACATAAAAATTCTTCATGTCGGGGCTGGCTGACGAACACAAACCTCACCAGACCACGTCGTCATTTAGACAGGGTTGATAAAAGGGGCCCTCAGCAGGCAAACAAGTAAGGCATGCCTGGATCGACGAGGCCTTTTTGTCGCATACCTACTCATCCTCGCGTCATGTAACACATGTAACACATGTACTGCTTCTGTCTCCCTCTATGGCTGGTGCCAGGACAGCATGCACCATGAACGCACCGCCGTATGCGGGTGTATATGGGTGTGGTGTGACGCCATAGCGGTACTGCCTGGTTCCACAAAACAGCAGTAAATAGCGGTGCATTTGCTAGATAGAGGGAGACGGGAGAATGGGCACACGCGTTCTCGGCTCTCCCGTTGACAGTTAACATGGCTCTCAACGAACCACTTGCTTTACATTTGTAGATGCAGCTTCGAACGGGCCCTCATCAACTCACCGGTAGGATGGTCCCTTCAACCTTTTCTGCTACACTCTACGTACATCGTGTACACGTTAGGAAAAATAGATAAGCAGCAAGTTGTCAAAAGACACCTCCAACGTGTGCCCTGTGAAGGTTACATTCAATGACACAAGACAAAACGGAGGGGTTCTCCCCGATGTTTTGTCGTTGACCTAGTGAGAACTACAGGGAATGTAAAATGTAGGTTACCTTGTACAGATGTTTTGTGCTCAGCACCAGCTGGTATCACTGATACAAACCATCAGTGCATCTAGGCTTAACAACAGACTCGAAGTAAGCCCAGTACCCGGCCAGTTTGCCTCCACTCACTGAAAAGGTTCCAATACATCCTCTTCGGTTGACTTCACATGTAGGCATACCTCGAACGGGTCGTCATTGCTACTTGCTTTAAGAAAGTAAATCTCACACAATTGTAACAGAATGACTGCTAATTTTGTATATATTTTTGAAAAGTAAACATAATCTCACAGAAAGACTACCCGTCCGAGATATAAACCTTGTCGATTGGAATGTGCTGGAGTCTTTACAGTGAGTGTATAAACACAGACTACAATACCCGTTCGTATGCATTCGACGGACAACGTCTTTTCCTTTAAAAGAAAGGTTCAAAGCAAATCGAAGGCCAGACCCCGAATGTATATGTATGCATATGTTAGCATGTGTGTCGAGAGTCACGTGTACGTATCAAGCCGTGTTCCGCACAAGCGTCGTTAAGTGTGTGTACTCTCCGATGTGTGCGCTGCAACTACGCGACGTGTAAGCTTGAATAAGCAGATGTGCGTGGCTGTACATGGATGCACATTGAAGAGCCATTTTGCAACGGAGCTGTGCAAACACAGGGTGTGCACACCACCCAGCAGCAGGCACATCAATGCGGGGGGCATGACGCCGGGGCAGGGACAGGAGCAGCGTCGAGCAAAGAGGGGGCGGAGAGAGGCGGATCCTTGGCGTGCCTGCTTGTATGGAGTGTATACGACTGGTACACAGCGATTCCAACAACAATGGTTGAGTCTCCAACCACATCCGAGTCTCTCCGAGTCGCAGGCAGGAGGGTAGCAAAGAATGGTGTGAGAACACACATATCACACCTCCCTGGCGATGCCGTCCGCGTCCAGCACGTCCTGGAGCTCCGCCTTCTTCCTGAACGTCAGCTCCGACGGCAACGCATCTTCCGTGTCTTGTTGCTTCCCTACTGCCGTCTTTGCACCGCAGTTGCCCATCCTCTTCTCTCTCCGTCTTCGCAGAGGGGGGGCAGGGAACAGAAGGGCAACCAAGGGAGCGAGCACGAGGGGTATCTACAGCAATCTGCGCCCGTGATCCGAATCGTCAAGCAGCGGAGGAAGAAGGCAGGGTGCCTGCTGTCGTAAAGAGGCCCTACGGTTGCTGGTTCGGGTGAGCAAGCGTGGGCCTGGGTGTCTGTGGGTATGACCCGGGACAGCTGGCAGCTGTCGGGAGAATAATGCCATGCAGGTGCTGAACATTAGGGGGGGTAGTTCAAGCAGCTGCGGGGCCCCCTCGGCTGATGATGGAAATGAAACCGTCCGACGATCCTCGTCGCGTGGTGTGGTGTGCACGGGAAATATCTACCGCTGTACCAAGCCGCACGGTTCGACACCCAGGGGGTGAGAGAATCGAATCCAGCCGGAGTTGGCAACAGAGTTCTTCTGGACCCCTTCACGAGAGCTACCGAGAGAGAGAGAGCAGCGACGGAGCATCCAACCCCCAGTTGGAGACGAGATGGGCTCAGGACGGGTGATACAGCGGTCACCACGCGCAGTACTAAGTTGTTCACGTCGCGGAAACGCATACATAGCACCTACAGCAGTGATGGCCTGAATGAAGGTAAAGAACCTCTGCCACAGCAGCAGCCAGTCAAAGGAATAACAGATGTGGTGAAAGGAATATTGCTCGCAATCCCGATCTCTTCACTACGGTGGTACGATAGATGTTTGACAAGGACAACGCGCACCAGCAGCGTCGCGAGGCAAGGCCGGTCGCGCAGAAGCAGCAACAACGGCAACGGCAGCAGCAACAGCAGCAGCAGCAGCCTCGGGCAAGCATGAGCCACCAATGCCGACGACTCATGCTCATCATCGACGTGCAGAGCAGGCGGGGGGCCGTCGAGGAAGTGTACGTCCGAGACGGTGACAACGCCTTTGATTTGGCCAGAGGGTTCATCATGAGGCGAGTTGGGTGTTGGCAACACACGTTGACTTTTTTCTCTCGAACATGTATAGTTGTCTTCAATAGCGGGTTGGTCCCTGCCTTCCATCAATGAGTTCGGTTCTGAGGCTGTGCCGCAGCAGAGTTCTGTAGTTCAGCCTTGAGAGTGTCGCATGTCTCATGCTTTATCATCAACCGTATTCTGCATTGTTGTCGAAAGTGCTGCACGCCTCTCCACCCGTCAATATTGAACGGCCGTATAGACTAAAACCTCCGACTTGCCAAGAAGTCTCCACTCATAATTGTTATCGCAACACACTACTACTGTCGTCTACTTCTTCTTGCCGGTATGTAAGTAGAATGTACATAGATTCGGTGATGCTGTGCTAAATCACAAACCCAATTTTCCTGAGGACCACAAACAAGGAGGAACCTAAATAGGAGAACAACGAGATCTACACACGTGTGGCACTCACCGAATTAAACAGTACCATGATTAAGGAGCTTACACACGCAACACACCCGGAAAACAAAGGGAGAAGCCGAGAAACTGTACACTGAACGGGCAATACGGCAAAAGGCCATGGGATACTTGCTCTCCCCGCCATGCCGTCCGCTCCTTCACAGCTTTCCCCCCCTCTCTGCCGAGGTCCGCATCATAAACGATACAATCTCCATTAAGAAAATTCGAAAAATCTGCGCGATGGTATGCCCAAGGATGGCGGATTTGATTTGAACCCAGCTTCTCTTCCACCAAAAGCAGACACCTCTGTTCGTGAGCCCTAGCCCTGTTAAGGGCCGGCGGACTTGGGGCTGCTGTTTAACTGTGTGTATTAGCTCGCATGAGAGAGGAGAGGGGGAGAAGGAGGAGAGGCCCCAATTCTCGAGAGAATACGGGGACTCCGCACTATCATCCAAAGCCTCTCAGCACATACCCTTCAAGTTGTCCCAGCTGCGTCCTACGTAACGGCTACTTTTCGACTATCTACTTCTACGCACGAACAACCTCATCGTCTATGTACGCATATGTAACAAGAGGGAGCCGTCCTCGGCAGAAGTTAGGGGAGATTGTACCCTTCGTTAAGGGGATCTCAATATCTCTCTCGGTGTCTCATTTCCGTTCATTCCCGTTAACCTTCATCACTAAGTTTTTTTCTCAACCCGCGCGTTTTGAACCCCCAATTAGGCACGGGCTTGGTGTGCAACACGTACGCGCCGTGGGAGTTCAGATCCAGGCAAAGGTCATCGACACCGGCTACCACGTTGATGTGAGCGGGTCGTGTTGGGTGTCGGAGCCCACGATCAATCATCCGGCACCAGCACACCAGCCAAATTATTTTCGAGATCACCAACGAAGCGATAGCGGCAGTTGGCAGGGGTCGGGGCCGAGGCAGCAACATCGGGACAGGGGGGAGGCAAGGCGAGTGGGGGGTGGTCCTGGCGTCGGCACGACTTCGGTAGGAGCGACTGACTCTGGCACCACCGACTGCCTTAAGGGAGAAGCCGAGCACGCCGGGAGCAACGTAGATCACACCAACGGCGCGGCAAGCCCCCAACCGCAGTTCACGAGACGGATGGCCGCGGGTGTAGCGCATGAGGCCGCTGATGCAGCGCATGACGCAGCGGGGGCAGAACAAGAGCATGCTGGCCGCGAAACGCGCCTCCAAAGAGACGAAGACGACGACGAGAATGAAGAAGCTAGTTTCCTGAAATCGAGGGACGACACAAGTAGGCATGCTGACCGCGAAACGTGTCTCCACAGAGACGAAGTTGACGACCTCGACGACGAGGATGAAGAAGCTAGTTTCCTGGAATCGAGGGACGACACAAGTAGGCATGCTGACCGCGAAACGTGTCTCCACAGAGACGAAGTTGACGACCTCGACGACGAGGATGAAGAAGCTAGTTTCCTGGAATCGAGGGACGACACAAGTAGGCATGCTGACCGCGAAACGTGTCTCCACAGAGACGAAGTTGACGACCTCGACGACGAGGATGAAGAAGCTAGTTTCCTGGAATCGAGGGACGACACAAGTAGGCATGCTGACCGCGAAACGTGTCTCCACGGAGACGAAGACGACGACCCCGACGACGAAGATGAAGAAGCTAGTTTCCTGGAATCGAGGGACGACACAAGCACGCGCAACGGGCGGCGGTTCGAGTGGCGACGGCGGCAGTGGCGACAACGGCGACGGTGTCGCTGGCAGGACGACTACAGTGAAGAGGACGACGACGACATGCGATCGGCGTCGACTTCGGGTGAGCACAAACACGCACAAGCCTAAAAGTGCGCTTGGGCTGCAGCCCAAGAAGACGCTGACCAGGTCTAGCCTACAGAACGGTGCTCGTTTTCCATGATGTGAGCGTGAAGGCGAAGTGGGCCAACCGCAACCCTCAAGGATACTGCCACGGTATAGCGCAAAGGGTGGCTCGATACACGAAGAGTGCCACAACACGCTAGGAAGAATCGAAGATTGTCACTCGCTGGATCCGATTGGTGAATAACAGTCAAGGGGGCGACATTCCACGCAAGGGCGCATTTCGCAGCTCTTCGAGCAGGTCACCTCTAGGACGGTGATTCCCGAACTGTTGGCGCCGATGGATGAGGGACTTGCTTGCATGTACACTTCCGTCGATGTTTGCTGTTCACCGGAGCATCGAGCAACCTTGTGCCCACCTTGAGTGCAACATTCTCCTCCCTCCCATGCGCTTGCTATTGCGCCCCGTCGGAGTTTGACGAACACGATCGGCGCAATGTGTTGTTGTATTCTTCTTGCTAGCAGGGTCCATGCGTTTTACCGACGAAGACCGAGCCCGCTTGCCGTCCGCGGCCAGCGGCTGGAGGTCAGATCCAGCGGCCAGTCCGAACGAATGGGGCGTTGGCTCCGAAGGCGGCGGGTTTCCCGACGAAGGCGAAACCGAAGACGAGAGACACGCCTACCACAGGGCTCGCACCTCTTGGACCAGGCCACGCCGAGCGAGGGGTGGTACCGGTCTTGGAACGAGCAGTGTTGGTAGCGGCCGTCGTTCTTGTAGAAGAGACCGATGGCCTAGCAGAGACGGGGTAGCGACAGGGGTCAGACACGTCGAGGGTTTTCTCGGGCGACCCGTCGCCTCTGCGTCGCCCCGACGAGTGGTAGGGGACACCACACCACCGGACGGCTGGCGAAGTGGCGACCACGGGCCGGCAACGACCACGGCAACACCAGCGGAAAGGAGAAGACGCGCAGGTTACCGCTTGAGTGGTCGGTGGGTCCGGCCGTGCGGGAGCGGCAGCGAAAAGGAGTCGTCCGGTGGATGGCGCTCGGCTCCAGAGGTCGGCCACGGCGGCGGTAGTTACAGGGCAAACAGGGAGGGGTTTGGAGGCGGTGCTGTCGGCGGCGGTGCCGGGTGGCGCAGCAGGGGAGTCCTCGGGAGGAGGCCGGCGTCGAGGGAAGCGGCGCGGCAGCTCCGAGTCTCCGAGAGGATGCACCGGTTGGGGCGAGCCATGGCGAAGAGGAAAGAGGCCACGAGGCAACGGCGAGACGAGGTCCAAAGAGCTAGAGTAAGTATATTGATTCACTTCACATACCACGGGACCCCCCCTCCCGCGCGCGCGCGCAGACGAAGACTAGGTGTGTCAGCGACCGGCTGAAAAATTATGTTGGCTTGTTTTCCTTCACAAGGGTACTGACTATCTCCTGAAGGTTAATTTTCCCATCGTTCACACAACTCCGAAGGCTGCATGAATCAATAGGTCGCCTCGCAAATGTTGGTTCGAATCTCGGTGCCGTCACACACCTTGCAGTGAGCGCACTCTCCTTCTCACATCCCGACAACGAAAGCAAACTTTTTCGACTCCGTACTGCATCTGAAACCACCCTGAGTCACCAAAAGGGTAACACGCACAACGCCTTCCTACATATCTCTCTGGTTCAACACTTTCTCGCCGATTGTCGTCCTCTCTTTTGCCAGGAGGAGCTGGCTTGCTCGGGCCGATTGAACCTTTGCTCCAAGACGCGGGAACTCACGGACAACCAGCCCAAGTACGTCTACCGCCGACCAAACGGTAAGAGCGGTGCCTCAAACGGCGGCAGCGGCTATGGCGGGGGGGTCAGCGACAGCAGTGGCCGAGAAGGTGTCGCGGCCGAGAGAGGAGAGCCGGGAATTGCGCGGGGCGGAGAGCAAGAAAGCAGGGGGGGGGGGGCTTTGTATCGGGGGGCCGGAGACAGGCTGTACTCCGAGTGGATGGCGACCCGAAAGAGGAACGCTAGC